TGAAAATTATCATTATAGGTGTATTATTACTTCTGATTTTCTTCACTTTCGACCATTACAGTGAAAAATCTAGTGAGATTTCAATAGATTTTGTCATACAATTTGTAACTTGTAAGCGATCAAATTTTATGAATAATCCTGTACATTCAAACCAAAAAGAGACAATAATACTTAGCTGGATTAATCACTCTTCACCGAAAAAGTGGTGAAATTATATATATACTTATCTGTTCTGTACTAGTGAAATAATACTTCTTTAAAAAAAGTGGGCGAATATATATATATATATATATATCACACACACATACACACGCCCGCCATGTCAAGATCAAGTCCCTCCCAGCTTTTACCGATCCCAACTCATGGCGTTCTTCTAATATTAATTATTATATGAGTCTTTATCATTATATCAAAAGTTATAGTTAGTAATAAATGTGTAACTTTATTTCTTTATATTTGTATAGCAGCTAGTGTCATGTTTTGATAGTAGAATGTCGGACCGCCCAATAATACATGCTTATTCTTTGATTTATGAAAATGTCCCTAATCATTATTCGAATGTGCACTATGTGTGAAGTCTGCCTCATGAGGCGTGACCCTAGCCGACGTACAAAGGGTTACAAGGGGGTAAACCAACATAAGTTGCTTATAGTACGTTGACATGCTCAATTAAAACAATAAGATCAATAGACAGCCCTTAAGACGAGTTGAATTGGAATCTTGTAGTTGTCAAGACAACTTTTCGATGTAAGCGAGAGTTTTATTTAAAACAAATAAATAGATTTTGTAAAGTATATATAGTAAAAACGTGTGCCCTAATTTTATTTTTTATTTTGTTAATCTTAAAAGGTGGATTGGTGGAATGCATGCAGTGGTTAATGATTTGTTGTTTTTTAACCTTCAGTCTAACGCAACATGCTTCCAAGCACGCGAAAATGTGAGTTAAAAGACTGCATTTTTGTTTGCATTCTTTAGTATTAGTTGTGGGACAAGATAGTTTAGGGATGAGGGTTAATACTTGCATTCTTATTTCTTTTAGGATAAATTATACTTATTAATTAGTGGATTGCATACTTTATTCAAATATAAATATTATTTTACACCTTTGGTAAACAAATCCTGATTAATCTATTTGGAAGCATATATGAAACGTTTAATATTTATTAATCATCTATATACAAGATTGACTAAAAGTACATCCTGTAATATAATTACATGAAGACCTGCACGGGATTAACTTAATGGTTCAGTAGGCAGTATTTGGGAAAAAAGATCAATGTTTGAATCTTGGCGGTGGCAGTGTAGAGATTATACCCAAAGTGGACAGATCCTTTGTGGTCTTGTGCGCATTGATATTTGATCATGTCTGCTGAGTCATTGAGTCAGGCCGTTGGGGTCGGGGATTCAGCCTTTTGGGAAAAGAAGATTAGATGTTGATATTATAACCTTATAACCTAAAATTATAAGATGATATCACTAGACCAAGACCTAGGTCTTAGACTAATTTATGTATGCATTCACCCGCGCACACTACGTACTTACATGCCGCATCTTATTTAGGGATGTCAATTTTAGTATATATGAATTTGACGAGTTAATAAAAAAAAAATATGAAAAAGTTAGTAGGCCAGAGTCGAAAAGGTCATTCTAATAAGAAAATCAAGTAATCAACACAATAGTCCAAAACTAACAAATTGCCCGAGCAAACTAACCCTAAATACATTACATTTAATTTGTTATATGTTTTTTAAAATCGTTGTTTTCATATTTTCAATTTCTTGCTCATACTACGCAGAGCACAAGTAATACTCACAGAATCTTATATATATAAATAGGACGGTATAAGTCTCATAATAACAATAATATGTAATACTCCATAATATAAAGTTGGTATTAATATATTTGATGGAGCTTGGGGAACCCCAAACGTCATGACAGCATGGGAGTGATGTCATGATACACCCCACAAAGGAATGGCACTTCCAATAGTACATTGGAAAGTATGATTGGAGTGTTTGAATATGTGACAAAAATATAAAAACATATGCAGGCCCGAAAAAGAAATGCCTTTTTACTATTACAATATATGGGGGACCAATTATCCACCACTAACACTATTTAAAAAAAAAAAAAAAAGTTTTGCTGTCTTCCAATTCATTCACTCAATTCACATTATTATAATAATTTTTTTAGTTGAGTTTTAGTTATTTGACAAAACTTTGACCAAATAGATCGGCAAATTATATCAAGAAAAGTCACTATATACATTATCAGTTAAAGTTAACTAATTTCACTAAATACTTCTTCACAAACATCTAATGCTTTTAAACCAATCAATTTATGTCAACAATTATAACCAGTAATAATGAATACCTCATTTCTATAATATAATGTTAAATTTGACCCTCAAATCTATACCCAACAATATATATATATATATTTTGAGATATTATTAAAACAAGTGAGAATAGAATAAGATATGCAGCATTAGGTCTCCAGGCCAGCTTTCACACGCTAAAGAGGTGTCTACAATTCAGCGAGGGAATTAGTCACTGTGTTCGACGGTAGAAACCCTGAGTATACCAAAAAAAAAAAAGATATACTACTTTTTTTTTTTGAAAGGAATATATACTATACTTAATTATATCAAATGTGATTGATAATATTAAAAGAAGATCATTAACTATGAATTTACCAGGTAAAATTATAGTTTTCCCTAGTTAGAAATTGGAAAGAGCAAATATTAGTTAATAGTGGGTATTAATTTAGAGAGTAGAATATAGGCAAGAAAGAAGTAAGTAGTCGAGGAGGAGTGTGTTCCAAGACATAATGATTACATGGGTCTTGGGGAGGCAGAAAGGTTTGGCGTGGAAAATTGGCATCCACTGTTCATACATTTACAACAAGAGAATAATGATATGGAGCAACGTGGGGAGGAGGACGACTTTGACTCACTCACTCAATCAATGCCCAACTTACACCTGTAAAAGAAAAAATAAAATTTAGCTCGCATGTGCAGTTCAACTGATCGCAGAGGTAAAATTTGTCACAAAGACCAAAGATCGAGTTTCACTAATCACAGTTTGGGGATAATCTCTTGAAATAAGAGAGGCTTCTTGTGCATAGTAGGCAAAAATATTGCCTTTGTTAGTCAGTTGAGTTAATATGATTTAGCCTAAACGAGCTTAGTTTACTGGTTTAGTAGGCAGTATTTGCGAGAAGTGACAAAAGTTTGAACCTCGACAGTTCGGGATTATGCTCAAGTGAACAAATCTCTTGTCACTGCTGGAAAATATGAAATTTCCGACCACCTGAAAGTGATCTTAAATCAAGTCGAAAGCAAAAAGTGGTCGAAAATAGTAACAAAGGTTTTTCCGGATACCAAAAGTGATTGGAACAATGCTTTCGACTTGATTTAAAATCACTTTTAAGTGATCAGAAATTCTATAATTTTCAGCAATGTGTGCGCACCCGACATTTAACGCTATTTACTGAGTCATTGAATCAGCGTGATTTACATCTTATCAAATATTCTGTCCGGGTGTAGAATCCTTGAAGTTAAAATAAAAAATTATAAAAAACAATGATCCATCAATTCTCTATCTCTCACTTCCTTTTTCTGTGTGTATGCATCCATCCATGATTCTGATTCATTATTGCATGTCGTTGGTCGGTTAGACAATCTGTGTGTAATGTGTTCACTGTGTTCTTTTTGTGTTTCCACCCCTTTTTTCGAGAACTTCTTCTTTGTTTTATATAATATAATTAGTAATTAATTACTATACCCTCATTTAATTTGTTTATTTTATGCCATTACTATAATCTATAAATACAATACATTATTTCAATTCACACGCTTCTTTTTATTGTTAACAAATATTTAGTAATTAGTTGATAGATGATTATATTAGGGAATTGTTGATCGCAACAGATTATATATATATATATATATATATATATATATATATATATATATATATATATATGCAATGTGATAAATTCATTTAAATGCAAAAGCCATGAAACAAGTACTCTTATTTAACCTAAAAAAATCTTACTTTTAACTTTTTTCACTACTGCCGCATGCGACATTCACACAGTGTAATAATGCACTTTGAAGAAATCACATCGAAAAAATGTACTGTGTTTATCTTAAGACGAGTTGGAATTACACTTTATAAACAAAAATTTAAAAAATTTACTAATCCGGCTAAATTTGGACTAGAATATTGGGTCTTTATAGATTTTCTAAAATAAAAAATGATATTTAATTTTTGAAGATTGTAATTTTCATCATCTCAAAATCATCAAATTATCTCAAAGAACTATCATTCCCAACACAATAGGAGCATAAAAGAACTTAAGAACTATTCATGCACGGCTAAATTAATATTGAACAATTAGAGTAAAATTTATTGACCCGACATTAATTTATTTACACCCTAGTAATTCCTATTTAGTCTCTACTATACGGAATTCTTATTTGAATTGTAGTAACAAGTTTATAACTCCTCAAGGTTATCCAATATCGAGGACTAATGTCGGGTTACCTTTTAAATTGAGTGTAACTCTCACAATACAACTGTCAAATATCAGTCATGCGTTATGATGGAACATGAACTATGGGTAGTCAACTAAGCAGTCAGTCTGGCGCTAGATGGTAGTCGGATCAACGCTCGTACTCGGCACTCGGCTCGTGACTTGACCAGTCAACAGCAACATTAAAGGAAAGAATTATAAGGCAACTGCTCAATTATGGAAGGATAATCAAGGTCAACCTAAATTAGTCCCTACCCCCTAAATTATCCTTCGATCTCCTTCATGAAATCGCTTTCGAATTACATTAATTATCCTAGCTCACCACAAATACCCAATTATCATATATATATATATATATATATATATATATATATATATATATATATATATATATATATCCCGATTTCCATATGCTCTACCTATTTCTCCACTATAAAAGGTCTTAATCAATCACAAAGAACAGTATCGAAATCCTCTTACACATCCACATCTCTCTATATAGCACCAAATTGTACATGTACCCCGTGGTTTTCACCATTCTATTTCCACGTTAAAAATATTGTGTTTCCTTTATTTTTCTTCTCCATTATTTATCTATTATTTATTCAGTCGATCATGTTAGCCCGCCAAATGAATAGCCTCAGTAGTAAAAAAACCAACACGTCCTTCCTTACCCACAATTTACTACTCCAAACACTTGTTTTTGCAGTTTTTCTCATCGAGTCAGTGAAATTATATATATTTAAAATGAAAGAACGGTTAGAGTTAGATCCACATCACGCACCAAGAAGTGGGAGAAAATGAAATTCCGAATTGAGAAATGTTGGTGGGTATATGGTAGAGTGATGAGTAGAAACGGTGCATAGTTAGAGACATACAGGAAAAAGAATGTCGTAAAGATAAAGGAAAGGTGAGTAGCCGTACTTGCATACCTCTATTTAAGTGGAGGAGGTGATAATATAGAGAGAGAGAGAGAGAAAGTGAATCATAAAGGTGCAGAAGAAAACAAAGGAAACAAAAAGATAGCAATTAAGCAAAGCATATAGAGAAAGGGAAAGAGTGGAAAGCTTAGTTGTTGGTTTAGGATAGAAAGGCAAAATTTTAAGTCTTCTTCTCAATCCCCCCCTCCCCCTTTCAACTCCATAGCTTCCTCTCCCACCAAAAGATTTGAAGAAAATAAGAAACAACATCCAAGAAGCAAGATTACTACAACATATATCCAAGGTTTGTTCCTTCTTTTGAAATATCTAAAGAAAATAAGAATGTTGGTGGCCGGGCTATAGAGTTCTTGAGAAACACACTTTTGTATTTCTGTAAACGCTTAATTCTAACAAGTGATATTACTGTATCAGCCTAAGTTACGGGTTCGGGTTATAAATTTATATATATATATATATATATATATATATATATATATATATATATATATATATATATAAAAGTTATCCAGTAGATATAAACATGTGTGTATAAATTTATATATATATATAAGTTAAGTTATGTTTTGTTAGGGTTTTCAGAGATCATAAGTGAAGAGGAGGATATGCAACCACAAAGCAGCACAGACGCATACACGGGAGGGGCAGGAATGTCATCACCAATATTTCCATGGAGTTTCACCCCGGTCCAACCCTACAATCCGGTCCATTACTCGGGCCGCGATCACGACCCGTTCCTCCTCCCCCCGGCTCCGTCGCCGTACGGCGGCTTTTTCAGCCGGAAGCAATCCTTGCCCTTCGCCTACGACGACGCGCCGCCGTCGGACCATCTCCGGCTGATCTCCGACACGCTGTTAGGTCAAGTGGTGCATCCCGGTTCCGGCGGGCCGTTTGGGCTCCAAGCCGAGCTGCAGAAGCTGGCGGCTCAAGAAATCATGGACGCTAAGGCCCTCGCCGCCTCCAAGAGCCATAGTGAAGCCGAACGGAGAAGAAGAGAGAGAATCAATAATCATCTTGCTAAGCTTCGCAGCCTTCTTCCCAACACTACAAAAGTAAGCTTTTTTCTCTCTCTCTTTTTTTTTTTTTTTTTTTTTTCACTATTTCTGTTTTGTTGGTATAAACATATTTAAGTCCTATTTTCAAACAAAATTTCCGACCAACTAGGTAGTTATTATGATGATCATGACATCATGTCATTTCAAAGAAAATGTAATTTTTTTCCGCATATTTTTCCCTGTTAGATGATGTGTTTTGCATAATCTAGGTTTAATTTATTATCATAATTGATGAGTTAAAATGTGTTTTTTTTTCCAATAAAATTGATGATTAATAAATTAATATTTACTAAACTAGAACTATGGAAATTTATTATGTGCACTATATATATATGTGTCAAAATTTATAATATTAAAATTTTCAATCATGAAGCATGATTACAATGATTGTATTTGGACAATGATAGTTTTTTAGTGACATAGATTGATTACACCACACAAGAATCATGTGAAGTCTGGGGAAATATAATGCTAAAGAGACAATTCATAATGTATTATTAGATACAATAATGCTAATAAGTTTTGCTTATAATATTGAAATTAATTAGAAAAGACGCCACCAAAGACTTTGTGGTTGAACAACAAAATTGCAATCTAACTTTTCCAATCTTTCCGATATTTTTTCCTTGTGAAATTTCAATTCAATTCATTCCTTAATATTTTTTGCGAACTAAATGGCTGGTAAATGTATTAATGACTAAAAGAACCTATAGGGGAAGTGAAATTTGTGTAAATGTATATATTTGTGGTGATAATATCTAGGAAAGGACAACTGGGGAAAAAGGATTAATAAAAGCGTTAATCTCGCTAGATTGGCATAATAAAGAGAAACCAGCAAACAGTTTAAAAGCTTCCATGGAAATCTCTTGCCGGGTTTTTGCTGTCTTCTATGTTGTTAGAGAGGAACAAGAAAACATCCTTTTTGATACATTAGAATTTAGGTACACTTTAGGCTAGACTAATTCTAAAACCCCAGTCTTATAAATTGAGAGTTGCCCTGTCAAATCTACATAGATTTAGTTCACTGTTCAGGGTATTTAAGAGAAAAGATTAAAATTCAAAATTGATCAGCAATAATGTGAAAATTAGGTCTAAAATGGACAGATTTTTTATGTCTATCAAAATTTGGATCTCCTTCCTTTGTTGGACTGAGACGTAGGGGACTCTTGAAGTTGGAAATTCAATCTTTTGAACGAGAAATTATAATTTGTATTAATATTTTGTTTTTTCTTACCAAAAAAAACTAATATTTGGTTTCTTGCATTATATGTATAGACGGATAAAGCTTCGTTGTTGGCAGAGGTGATACAGCATGTGAAGGAGCTGAAGAGACAGACGTCAGTGATCGCCGAGACTACGCCGGTGCCGACGGTGACGGACGAGCTCACCGTCGACAACGTCTCCGGCGAGGTGGGCAACAATAAACTATTGATAAGAGCGACGCTGTGCTGCGACGACCGGTCGGACCTCTTGCCGGACCTCATCAAGAGCCTGAAGGGTCTTCGGTTAAAAGCATTGCGGGCTGAAATCACCACCCTCGGCGGCCGCATGAGGAACGTGCTGTTCATCACCCGCGAAAACGACCGCGGCGGCGGGGGGGATTGCGACGGCGACGACGAGTCGTTGCAGTCCATAAGCTCCGTGGAAGACGCGCTGAGAGCGGTGATGGAGAGATCAAACGGCGGGGAAGACCAGTCAGGGAGTGTGAAGAGACAAAGAACTAATAATATTAACATATTTCAACAACACCACAAATAATCTCATTGATGAAGGGATCGTGATTTACATTATTTCAGATGTTTTGTTGGGTCAGGATGTGGGGCCTTTGCAGTTGGGGATTCAACCTTTCGAGACGTTTGGTTAGTTGAAATTTCATCACCACTAAGGAGATTATTATAAGCCAAGTTAGTGGTGAGTGTTTAATGTTTAATTTAGAGAATATTAATTACAAGCTAAGTTTAATTTCTTGGTTGTGGGGTTTATAATTTATGATTATATATTGTGGAATGTGACAAAATTTATTTGTCACTTGATTAGTTGGTTGGCTTTCTAATATTGAGATTGGGTGCAATGGTCAATTAATTAATTCCCTTCATTTAGATAATATGGGATGAGAATGTAATATAATCTTGTGGGTACTTTACAAAATTGTTATGGTGTTTTTTTAAAGATAATTAAAAGTGAATATATATGTTACTAAATATAAGTATGGTACAATTTCTTTAATGTTAGAATTCTAGTTTTACTATGTAAAATGTTTGTATGTGTAAAATCCTATTTGTGTGTGACTTAATGATTAGTATCCCATGATTGTCAAATAATTGATTTTAGTACAAGATTAACAATATCAAATCATATCACTTAGAATACAATTTGGTGCAAATAAACCACTTATCAGTCAATTATTGACATATTTAACCAACTTTACCTATTTGACTTGATTAAAAAGTTAAAACATGTCTGGTAAATAACTTTTTAAATTAAAGAATGTTTGTCAAATGGTTGATAAGTCATGTTTTGATCGATTTGATCAATTTGATCAATTTTAACTGATTGAGATACCATTAGATTTTCAATAAGCATAAGAAAAAATCTAATAAGGCTCCGTTTGGAAACCCAGAAAATGACTTCTGGAAAATGTTTTTCGAATTTTCAGTGTTTGGATGCAACAGGAAAATCCAATCAACAGAAAATATTTTCCGTTGCCGGGGGAAAATGAAGCCATTTTGGCGAAAAATGACTTCTGCCAAAATTTGGAGGAAGTCATTTTCTGCCAAAATGTTTAAACATACAATTCTACTCATTTTTCTAGAAAATAAACTAAACACAGCAAATTTTTCAAAATGCAACCAAACACTGAAATGAAAATATTTTCTGAAAAATGACTCATTTAAAAAAAAAAAAAAAACATTTCCAGAAGTCATTTTCATACTTTCTAAACGTACCCTAAATTTTACTAATTCACTCAATAAATTTTCTCCTCAATCTCCCATCCAAGTCCCAACAACCAAACAATCCCCTAGTAGTACTATTTGCAAGTCCTCATCTTTCGTTTGTTTACTTCCATTTTGTGTGTGCATTTTTGGGTGTTGTTTGGTACATTTCCAGCTCTGAACACAAGATAACTTGAGAGAATGGCGAGAGAGGGGAATTGGGAAAAGGATCTTTTTCGTGACTGATGAAACCTTAACACCCAAACCTTTACATAGAAATATAGGCGTTTGATTGATTACGTTTTTGTTGATGCTATGCATTATTCCAAAGGGCTGAACCCCAACCCTAAGGGCCCCCTACACCCCGGCCCGACAGAGCATTTGTTGATGCTATATAGTCTAGTACTGTAGTTTGTCGTTTGTCTAGTTGTGCATGTGTGGCGTCAAGGTTACAGTGTATGTCAGCTTATTTTAATTTGTCATCTCCGGCATCCTCAGCTCCTAGGCTATCCATCACCGCCACCGTCTCTTCCTTTGTCCACCGCCGCAATATTCCTCATCCCAACTCCAACTCCAATGGTCCCCACACCCCGGTCCGACAAAACAATCGTCTAACGCATGTGCATACAAGACATAATTCTCACATTGTCGCTGTCAAGTTTCGAATTTTGGTCTCTTCTCCCAAATACTGCTTACTAAACCAGTGAACTAAACATGTGAGGGCAGACAGCTACTATCAACTAATATACTCATAGATCCCATTTGATATGTCTAGTCCAATTAAAAAAGGTTGAGTGAAATTATTTTTAATTTAATTTTTTTTATAATATTAAGTTAAATATTACTCCGTACCATGGTTGAAAAAACGATAGGCGCTCATCGGGCGTTCGGGGGCGCCTTTTTATTTTTTAAAAATTTGTTTAAAATATTTTATTTGTTAAGAATTGTTAATTATAAATTATTTAATACTTAAATAGTTAATACTAACTTATTAAATATTAGCCTAAAAAGCATTAGAGTTTGAACAATTTAAGTTTATTTCACTCAAAACCATGTCATTTTGAGAGAAATAATCCATTTTAAAAAGAATGGAACAATAGCTAATCGACCGGTTAGTCGGTGCCTAAGAGGCCTAAGGGGTCAGCGCTTAGCTAGGCAGCCTTGGCCAACCGCTTAGACAACCAATTATGGTGATACGCTAGGCGGTTGGCCAGCGTCTAGCGCCTAGGCGTCGATTAATCGATGCCTATGCGATGATTATTATTATTATTATTATTATTATTATTATTATTATTAGTAGTAGTAGTAGTGGTGGTATGACAAGTAGATAAAAACAATGCATAGTAAAGATTAACATGAATATAATTATGAATAGCAATAAGAAAATAACAATTAATGACTAAATACCCTTATATTACAGAAACATAAAAAAAAAATAAAAAAAAAATATCACCCACATATTTTCAACTAACCACACAATAATAGCTAAGGAAAAATAAGAAGCTAGCATTATTTAACTACTTTTGGGGGGATTAGTTCAGTGAGCAACACTATAAATACCTTAACATTAAGATTTTACCTCAATCATCCAAAGGAAAAACAATAATACTAAAAAATCTACCCAACAAAGAGATAAATGGATACAATATTTTATTGTGCCTTCACATTTGTATTATTCTTGCTAGCAGATCTTGGAGAGAGTGCTGAGTTCAAAGTTACTGCAGAAGGCGATTCTGATATTAGTCCGGTAAATTTTATTATTTTCTTTGGAGAATTGTGTTAAAAACAGAAAATAGAAAAAGAAAGAACCACCCATGTTTCAAGGCTCATATCTCCTTTGTTTGGAATTTTAAGCAATTAAAATAAACACTTCCAGGTTCATATATATGATCATATTTGATTATGGAGAAATTTTTAATGGCGTAGGAATTGTTGAAAGCTTGGGATGAAGCATGTGCGGCTACGACTCCCAGCATCATTGTGATCCCAAAAGGCACTTTCCAAATGAAACAAGCTCTACTTAAGGGTCCATGCAAAGCCCCAATTGAGCTTAAAATCAAGGCTACTTTGAAGGCCCCTCCTAATCCAAATGATATGGAATGCAAAAAGGAATGGCTAACCATTAATTATGTAGATGATTTCACACTCTCTGGTGATGGTACTCTTGATGGCCAAGGAGATGTACAAATTTATGGCCAAAAAAAAGACACAGGTTTTAAAAGTGATAAGTTGCCTAATGTAAGTCCAAAATTTTTATTTTATATAAAACAATTAAGACAACAATTTCTTTTTACTGATAGATCTATTAAGTAATAATGTTTTTTTTTTTTTTTCCAGAATTTGAGCCTCAATTTCTTAAAAAATTCGATCATCCGAGACATAACTTCTCTAAACAGTAAATTGTTCCACGTCAATGTTTTTGGTGGCAAGAACTTAACGTTTCAGAAAATCACTATTAAAGCGCCAGCGGATAGTCACAATACAGATGGAATTCATATTGCAAAAATATGTGATGTTACGATTAAAGATTCTGTTATAGGAACGGGAGACGATTGCATATCAATTGGTGATGGGTTAGAAAACCTGAACATCGATGGTGTGACATGTGGGCCAGGACACGGCATCAGTGTGGGAAGCCTTGGCAAGACCCCTGGTGAAGAGCCTGTGAAGGGTGTCACCGTAAAAGACTCCAAATTTATTGGTACAGATAACGGCCTCAGAATTAAAACATGGCCTAATTCTCATCCTGGAGTCGTAACCGATATACATTATCATAAAATAGAAATGGAAGACGTCAAAAATCCAATTGTGATTGATCAAGAATACTGCCCGAATAACCAATGCTCAAAAGAGGTATGTAACACATTTTTTTTTTATGACTTATCTTGATGATGGATGATTTTATTAAAACTTAGCTTGTTTTATTTTTATTTGTAGAAACCATCACTAGTAAAGATCAGCAATGTAAGTTATACGAACATAAAGGGTACTTCTGCAACCGAGGAAGCAGTGATCATTGCATGCAGTAGTGGGGTGCCATGTGAAGATGTTAAATTTGGTGATATTAATTTGACCTTCAAAGGAGGAGCTGCAAAAACTGTTTGTTCAAATGCGAAACCTAAGTTAACCGGAAAGCAGACCCCCCCAGTGACTTGCAAATGATGAGAGTTTTTGACCCTTTTTTTTTTTTTTTCATGAAAATGTAATCATAGACGGTTGGATAGAAATAAACAAGTATGTGTAGCTTGTGGCATAGGCCATCCAATATGCTGCCCATGCTTGGTTTTGAGCTGGATATGATGTTGAAGTTTTTTTTTTAATTACTCGTAATATTTTTATGAAAAATACTTTCTATCCCTTGCAAATCAGCTGCAACCATATTATATTCCTATCATTAGATGTCAAAATTCTTAATTAATTCATTTTTTTTGTAACTTGAAAATAATAAACCTCACTACCCCAGTTCTCTTGCATACGAGAAAAGGTCAATACAGTAGAAATATGTAAATAAGATAATAACTAGAAATGAAAATAATATAGTTCACTTCAATTTTGATAGAATTTATTTGCCACTAAAAAATAGTTTTAGTTAAAAAAAAGAATTGCCAAGTATTATATTGATTTTGTTTTTACTAATATTACTAAGTTGTTCGGCACATGTACCTTAAAAAATACATTGATGATTTTAACACTACTACAAATAACATTTTTAACGTTGATTTTTTGACTATACAATGTTGATTTTTTTTCAACATCGATTTTGTATGATATGTTTAATTATATTTTAAAAAAATAAACGACCTTTTTAATTTTTAAATTTACTATACGAGGTTGATTTTATCAAAAAACTACATTGTGTATAATTTTTAAAATTATTAAATTTATTTAATAATTTCTTATCAAAATCTATGCAATTTTACAATTCACATAAGTTTTTAAAATATGTGCAATTTTGTATTCATAATTTCACAATTGATCAAGCTAATAAATCTCTCAGTTATATTAATCAAACTAATAAATATCACAATTAATCAAGCTAATAAATTTTACAATTTGTTATAAATATTATACTTATTGTGGACATTATTGTCCATGTTGTAACAGCCATGTTGTAACTGATGTACTTATTCCTATTTAGTACATATTTATGCTTACCTTGTATATATATATATATATATATATATATATATATATATATATATATTGCCATAAGAATGGCTGTGGATGAATAAGAATAAGCTGCCTTCCCTCTTCTTTCTTGTCTAATTTAGTTTAACACGTTATCGGCACTTTGCTCTAAACAAAAAAACTAAGTTCGGCCACGTCTTCGCAATTTCCGGCGCCGGCGGGCCTCAAACCGGCGATCGGCTCCGTCCACCTTCTTCGTCACATCGAGGCGATCATGGAAGTGGGTCAGCCGCCTCCCAACTCGGTGGAACAAGAGCTGGATCGGGTGCGTAATATTCTGACGTGAACTTGTCTCCATCGGCGATCCGCTGTCTTCAGGGCGGCGATGGAGCCTTGGAGCCGTCCGGTGCTGTCTCTGATGTCCAGCAACATCATCGCCATCCTCAATCGATCGATCGACGGCCTCAGTATTCCAAGCTTCGTCAGTGATCGATTACAAGATCTACCACTGGATAATGGGTTCCAAACCCGAAGGTGCCATATTAAGGAGGCATCAGCCCAGTTCGAAGCGCTAACTCTTAAACCAGACTGGAGAGAACAGATCAAACTTTCCCAATTGATCAACCAAATCTCTACCATTCTCACGTAGAGGAACATTGCCCACTGGCCATCACTTCTCAAGCCCTTCGACCTCAACTCCAACGCGACAAGCGATCAGCGACGGTGACTGCACCCAAATCGAGGGCTACGTTTTCAATCGCGCTTAATCGCATGGGTAGTGTTGTTCTCAATTGGGTTCAAAAGCAGTTCCAATTTGGGCAATTTCCTTGGTCTACAACAATTTTAATTCAAGGTAGCTGCTTCGATTTTCCGGCGGTGGCGATTTCTTCATTCCGGTCAGCTGTTGCAAACTCTTGTTCGTCAGCAAAATTAATCGATCCGGCAGAATCAAACTTTCTTTCGGCATAGTTCTTGGACAGCAGCGATCTGGGCGGTGGAAATTACTTCCCGATTGGCATGGCAGCTTCAAATTAATTTTTTTTTTTTTTTTGTGGCAGCAACGTGTGGTGCGAATTATTTTCCAGCTGCAGCTTGTTGTTGGAAAGTTTTCTTGGCTGCAATGATTTTCTTGAAAGGCCCCGAAGGCGGAACAACCAAGGAATCATCAACTGGCCTTGTGATTAATCTCAAAGCTAAGTATTCTTATTTTCTAAGAAATATATTTATACTTTCATATAGTACAGTGATTGATCGTATGATGCAAGTTAACGGGCAAAATTACTTATCTTAAAAATTATTCCTTTGAACCTCCTTGCTCATACTACCAAATGGAAACGATGACAAGCTTGTTAATTTTTGATCACTGATATGATCTTTGGTGATAAGCTGTGCACATTTTTTATTGGAGAAAGAAATTAGTGATGTTGCTATATATAAGCAAGAATTATATTGTTTTGTGTGTTCTGCATACAAATTTGAAAATGGTGTATTTAACATATATAGAGAATTTTTGGAAAAGCAACATATTTCCAATAAGAAGCGAAGGCACTTCCAATTCTTCCCTGCTATTGCAACATCATTACTAACCTGGAGTTTTCATCAGATTGGCAATTTATCACTAATGTTGATCTAGCCTTCAAAATCTGAACACATGTCATGCTGGACTAGAGGCAGGAGTTGCACAATCAAATGACAGGAATAAGATATTATTCATACTGTCACTGATCTCTGTGTCACACTAGGTGCTACGGCAAAGCAGCATAGACTGGGTTCTTGAAGGTATTTTTACATAAACACTTATTACTTGTTTATGTTTAAGTGAACCCAATTATTGATCAATGATATTATGGTTGTTGCTGCCTAGTTCTAGTAGTATCACATCCCTATGTTGTTGGCTATTTTTTTTTTTTTTTGCATGATAAATTGCTCAGCTTTACTCATGTTGCCAAGCTGTCAATTATTTGCTATAGGCCATATATATTAAGATTTATAAATCTTAATGGGAGCTTTGCCCAGATGGAAAATTAAAGCCACTGTTTTATATACTTATTATACGATAATCCTTGTATGATTGTCATGATCAACAAGTGGTTACAACATGAATTTTAAACATAGCTTTGCCCAGAAGGCGAATTCATAGCGCTAGTTATATGATAATAGCACTATGACAAGTTATGTGACTAATGTCAAATTGATTTAATTCTGATTTGGAAGTCGATGATTATTTGTCCAAATTCATGCTTATTGATGGTACTAGTCTTTATCATAAAATTATATGGCATGAGTTTTGCATCTTGAATATCTCAAATTTGAGTATCTGAACAAAATAATAGTGCATTTTTTCAATATAGTTTTGCCCAGAAGGTAAATCAAGAGCACTAATTTTATCTATCACCCGTTATCTTGGCCCAAGCACTCGATTATAGATATTTGATCTAAAAGGATCTATAGACCCTAAGTCAATCCCTAAAGGATATTTGGTGTATGTTATTTCGTGTATGCGGGTCTCATTGTCAATGGTCGTATTGTACTCTAGTAATAGTATATGACAAAATTATGCTAAGTGTTTGGTCATTGGGCTATTTTTAATAAGGTCTGGAAGACCCTGGATGTGAATTGATATTTAAAGTGACTAATGACTTATGAATGAAGTTTGCAACTTCTATTTCTAATGCTATGATACTCTCCGAAAGTCAAAATTGACTCACATCATGTTGGTTTGCCTGAAGCAAACAAGTTGTGTTTTTTTTACACATAATCACTGCCTGAAAATTCTGACCGGCGCGGTTTGAAAATTAAATTCGTGAAAAATACTTCTTGAACTCCTTTTGGCATGGAATTTTTTCTGGAGAACCTAGACTCATGGTATTTGATGTCTATAAAAATATTTTGTTAAAAATATGCTTTGGTTATTCTAGAAAAATTGTAAAGTTTTGGCAGTGTGCTGACAATTATTTTTCTGCCTGGAGCAATGTTGGAAAAAATCTCGGGAAAAATACTTTTACACCTTGGATTGGCATGAAAATTTTCGTGTACGTTCTATACTTGATGAACTACATATATGTAAAATTTTGTGCCAAAATGTGTTACCTTTTTCCCCCAAGAAAATTCTGAAATCCAGGTCACAATTCTGAAAATTTTTGCCGTTTTCAGCTTGTATATCTTGCTATTTTGTGATGTTTTCATGCTTGTATGAAACTATGAGATAAAATGAGAGCTTGCTTGGAAAAGTGCTGTTTTTGACGCCCCAAAAATGGAATGAATGGGCCCGACAGCAAACATGTGCTCATTATTCTTCGGCGAACGGTACTTCTCTCATTTTTCTAATTTATGAATTAATAAACAATATCTCTTACCAGGACTATGTGGTCTAATGGTACCCGGGTTGGACTTCCATTTGGAAGATTATGAGTTCGAGCCTTAGTGGAGGCGTTATTGGTTCTTTGTGTTTCAGCAGGTTGAGAAAGTATATGAACAGATACTACAATGTAATAGGACCAAGAACTTTCAAAAAAAAAAAAAAAAATAGGCATGTACCAAACATGCTATTCTTTATTTAATGAATGTGCATGACTCAATTGAGAGTTTGGTGTCCAAGACATAAGGGACAATTATATCACATGCTATTGCATGCTTCTCTTTAATTGACAACTTTTAGCATATAATCTCTTGATTAGGCTCATATAAGAGCTTTTGTTATTTCTTGTTGGCAATTAATTATTTTGCTATAGGCCATAGCTATTGAGATTTATCACCCAACTTATAAGTGGGAAAATAGCATGAATTCTCAATATGGTTAGGTTGCACCTGTCGTTGCTAAACCTTAGCTTGCATGTGATAATAGTTAAAGGCTATGACATGTTTACAGTGCTAGTTTCTGCTATAGAAACTTTTTGACATGAGTTTTGAGCATATGATATTTAAATTTATAGCCCTCATTTTTTTATTTGCCTAGAAGGTAGATTAAGGACTTTAATTCTCTAAGTCACCCTTTAGGATGGACCTTGACAATAAATTCATGACAAATAATGGTCCACCTATCCCATCAATCCCCGAAGGATTGCTATGACGTTACTATGAGTCAAGTTCTTTTTACCCAAGTCTAACTCAATGCATATCACAAATCAATCCCTCAAGGATTGCTATACCCCCTTTTTTCACCTAGTACGTGGTTTCAGAAGTAACATTTCCCTATCTGCGTTATTTTATTTGCGCAGTCTATTTTATATCACCACCACAACGTACCTCTAAAAGGGCTATCAAAGAAACCCCCGTCTATTGATTAAATACTGAAAGCCCATGATAGGGGATCAATACATATAATTGGGTACGTTGACTGCATTCCTAATGAAGATTGTTTCTCGGCATTAGGGGGAGATAATATACTACTCCGTAGCTTTTTGGAATGCCAAGAAATTTCATAAGAATAAAAACATCTTCATTATTTAAATCCATGTACTAGTTAGATTGAACTGGAAGTTCAAAAGATAATCTATTTGCGATTTTAGCAAATAATCTGTCAAATACATCTATTGATCATAATGATTATAAAAGAAGTGACTAGGTCCTATATCCTTGGACCAAACATATCTATTGATACTCCTTGACACTAGAAGTGTAGGAGATCTATCGGTGAAAGAGATATGGATCATAATACTAGATCTAGTAAAGAAATATTGTCACTCTTGAAATAGCTTGAATAATTATGTCCTGCAGACGTTCGTCCAGATGACGAAAAACCCTGGTAAGACTTATAGGTGCACCAAACAAACGTAATACTAGGGGTGCGGAATGATCAGATCAAAATATCTTTGGGAAATGTTTAGAATCTGGTTGTTTTAGAAATTGCCATTACTTTTACAAATATGGGAGTTTTACAAAAAGGTTATAGTTGTCGACAACACAATTGCCATTACAAATTGCTCGTTATATAATCTGGATCCAGAGTTAGGCACCAGAAGTGCCATGACTAGTTAATATATAAAGGAGCAATTAAGGCATAGCTTGACTCTCTAAAATGAATAAATTCTCTTTATAACAATACACCATTTGAGCGTTAACCCTGAAGGTTACAAATGGGTGTGTGCATGAAAGAGAAATAAGAATAATGAGGTGATGAAGCGAGTTTGTAGCCTATGGGTTCACGCAGAGACCCTTAATTGATTTTCATCAAATATACTCTCCCACGGTAAATGACATTAAGTTCCGCTACATAATACAATTGACAGAATAATAAATTCAGATATGCAGTTAAATTTATCTTGAGAAATCCTTGATGGATTCATAATTCTCGAAATGAGGATTTTTAAGTATTATTATATTATGTGTCATTATTTACTCTTTAAAGGGTTGCGAATGGAGTTAATATCCTCATTGAAGGAATAATATGTACCATTGTGTGCTCGATAAAGGGTTGATAATGAACTTATTATCTCAGTCAAGATTGATGGTGTAAACATCAATAAAATATATAAAGAACTCAATAATGTCAGTTCATGTTTAAAGACTGAGACTTTTGAAATAAAAAGTTTGTGAAAGCTATAAGTATTATCTCGACTTGAAGATCGAGTTTTTCTTTGAAGATTTTTTTTTTATATATACACCAGTCAGCTTACATCTAAAATTGCTTTTTCACATGTCTATATGCATATAAGTGTCATGTTTTTATCAAACTAAAAGTTGCCTAATAATCTCTTGAAGCAGATAAGGAACCTTTTTGGACTCGAAGTCCCTTACTTCATTATCGTTGGAGCACCATTATAGAACCAGAAGTTCCATAATCGCAACATATTTGCGATGAAATTGCTAGCAAAATCTAGTGCTCCCGCGTACAAATGAAATACTTGAATAATGATTAACATATTCTCTGGTATCTTCGAGATACAAAGACATGACATTTATGTAAGAAACCATGATACGGTTTTAATAAGCTACTTGGGTACTGGCTGTTTTGTTTGATCCCCGCAATGTCAAGTCCAAAACTGGTTATACAATGAATTTCCCTAAATGTTCAAAATGAGGAGAATAACACTTGTGTTGCACAAATGTTATATGAGCTCTAGAAGAGCCATAAGATTATTGTACACTACTCTAGTGACAATCCAGAAGATTTGTCCAATTCATCTCTTTGAAATTTTAAAATATATGTAGAACTTGAAGATTGTTATCTTCAGGGGGAGACGGGGAGTACATTTATTCGAATCAATCCGGAAGATTGAATGTAAAATCCTGAAGATTAAGTCATAAAAGACTAACAGTTGCGCACTATTTGCAACACATAAATACATAAATATCATGTACTCTTTTCCTCACTAGTTTTCTCCCATTGGGTTTTCTAGTGTGGTTTTTAACGAGGCATGAGTATGATATAGTAATGACAATGAGGAAAAGTTACAAAATAATTGTTTAAATGGACAAACCCCAAAATCCTGAAGATTTATGAGTTTTGCGCCCTGAAGGCTTATGGTTGTACTCTTTTTTCCTTAACTAAGTTTTTCCCACAGGGTTTTCTTAAGTTAAGGTTTTTAATGAGGCGACCAATACAATATATGTTTTTACATATATCATGTACTCTTTTCTTCAACTAGGTTTTTTCCCACGTGGTTTTCCTAGTGAAGTTTTTAATGAGGCATGAATGTATGCTATCCATATACCTTGTACTCTTTTCTTGTTTAGGTTTTTCCCACAGGGTTTTCCTATCAAGTTTTTGACGAGACAAGATCGTGGTCAAATAATGTCCAAGGGGGAGTGTTATAAATATTATACTTATTGTGGACATTATTGTCCATGTTGTAACAGCCATGTTGTAACTGATGTACTTATTCCTATTTAGTACATATTTATGCTTACCTTGTATATATATATATATATATATATATATATATATATATATATATATATATATATTGCCATAAGAATGGCTGTGGATGAATAAGAATAAGCTGCCTTCCCTCTTCTTTCTTGTCTAATTTAGTTTAACACAATTGATACTAATTAATAATTGTAATTTGAAACTAAAATTATCAACATTTTATTAACGTCCATTTGGAAGGTTGGAGGCGTTATTGGTTCTTTGTGTTTAAATTAGACGATATGTCTTTAACTTGTAAAATGACCTAAGGGTATAAATATATTTAATAATAATAATAATAATAATAGTTTAAAAAATAAATAAATAAAAAATAAATTAAATTTAGTCAATCATATTAACTACTTGGGGGATACATTGATAGAATGAGTATTCAAATCACACAACAAATTGAAGTTGAAAACTACCTCGTAATGTCCTTATTTCGCAATCAGTTAGCTCTTCAATATTAGTAATGATTTAATATTTTATGCCCTAATTTTTATTTTCTCTCCCTTATGTCCCGTGTTTGGTTTCAACCATACCTATACAATTATTTTATTGACAATTATAATCAATCTTGACTATATTATATTGCATTTGTAAACTTAGAATTACCTATTTAATACACATATTCAACATTCAATTATCTATGCATGAACAATTCCAATATAATCTTGTCTTGATATACTTTAAAGTATTTATTTAAAAAAAATATATGGCAATGCGCGTAAAAACTAGTAATTAAGGATAAATTGTCATCGACATCCAATGCCCACTACAAATAAGTAATTTATTAATTTTAAGTGAATATAATATATAATAGAAATATATTATATATAAGTTATTGTATTTAAACGTAATTAGTACTTAGTTGAGAATATATGTCGCTAAACAACAATTAGTATTTAAATATTATGAACAAATATAATCTAAAGTTACTACATTTAGCTATGTAAACAACTTTAATGGAAAAATTTTAAAAAACAGTAAAATAGAAAAAATTGTAAATATATAATAAAATAAACCCAATTTATAAGTTATTACTACAAACATGTATTTTCACTCGTGCGATACACGGAATGGATTTGTTATAATATTTTAAGAATATTTGGATCAATATACAATTACTCCGTATATAAATTATAACATCGAATATTATATTATATAATTTAATTGAAGAATTGAGTTGTATCACCTGTATTTTCTGATTTTATCCTTGCTAGAATTCGAACAAATAATTGTCCAATTAATAGCCAATTTGTAAACCTTATAAATAAAACTCACACTCAATTTGAACAAATCAAACCAAAATCGAGTCTAATAAAAGTTAATGATGCAAACTTGAACCTAAATTTTTAAATTCAAGCTCGAACTCAAACTTGAGTCACTATAACTAGGGATGTAAATAGGTTAGACCGGGCCAAACTTTGAAAAATAAGGCATGGGTCTACGTTGAGAACTTGAACGTTGAGTCTGTATATATGTTTTTTTTTTCTTAGCCCTAAGCCTGAGCCAACAATAGGCATGACCATACTTAAAACCTTTTTAATGGCTATTTAATACAAGAATCATGTGAAGTCTGGGGAAATATAATGCTAAAGAGTCAATTCATAATGTATTATTAGATACAATAATTCTAATAAGTTTTGCTTATAATATCGAAATTAATTAGAAAAGATGCCACCAAAGACTTTGTGGTCGAACAACAAAATTACTGCAATTTTTCTAAATTGGAGGTCACAAGTTTGAACTCAAGTCAGATCATGTGTTTCAGTAGATATTTTTTGTTGTAGAATCAATCTTTTCAACATTTTTTCCCTGTGAAATTTCAATTCAATTCATTCCTTAATATTTTTTGCGAACTAAATGGCTGGTAATGTAGTTTTTTTAATATTTGTTTTGGTATTTTTAATGACTAAAAGAACCTATAGGGGAAGTGAAATTTGTGTAAATGTATATATTTGTGGTGATAATATCTAGGAAAGGACAACTGGGGAAAAAGGATTAATAAAAGCGTTAATCTCGCTAGATTGGCATAATAAAGAGAAACCAGCAAACAGTTTAAAAGCTTCCATGGAAATCTCTTGCCGGTTTTTTGCTGTCTTCTATGTTGTTAGAGAGGAACAAGAAAACATCCTTTTTGATACATTAGGATTTAGGTACACTTTAGACGAGACTAATTCTAAAACCCCAGTCTTATAAATTGAGAGTTGCACGATCAAATCTACACAGATTTAGCTCACTATTCATGGTATTTAAGAGAAAAGATTAAAGTTCAAAACTGATCAGCGATAATATGAAAATTATGTCTAAAATGGACAGATTTCTTATGTCCATTGATATTTGGATCTCCTTTCACTATCAGACTGAGACGTAGGGACCCTTGAAGTTGAAAATTCAATCTTTCTAACGAGAAATTATAATTTGTATTAATATTTGGTTTTTTCTTACCAAAAAAAAAAAATTAAAATTTGGTTTCTTGCATTATATGTATAGACGGATAAAGCTTCGTTACTGGCAGAGGTGATACAGCATGTGAAGGAGCTGAAGAGACAGACGTCAGTGATCGCCGAGACGACGCCGGTGCCGACGAGCTAACCGTCGACAACGTCTCCGGCGAGGTGGGCAACAATAAACTATTGATAAGAGCGACGCTGTGCTGCGACGACCGATCGGACCTCTTGCCGGACCTCATCAAGAGCCTGAAGGGTCTCCGATTGAAAGCATTGCGGGCCGAAATCACCACCCTCGGCGGCCGCATGAGGAACGTGCTGTTCATCACCCGCGACGACGACCGCTGCGGCGGCGGCGAATCCGACGGCGACGACAAGTCGTTGCAGTCCATAAGCTCCGTGGAAGACGCGCTGAGGGCGGTGATGGAGAGATCAAACGGCGGGGAAGACCAGTCAGGGAGTGTGAAGAGACAAAGAACTAATAATATTAACATATTTCAACAACACCACAAATAATCTCATTCATGAAGGGATCGTGATTTACATTATTTCATATGTTTTGTCGGGCCAGGAAGTGGGGCCTTTGCAGTTGGGGATTCAACCTTTCGGGACGTTTGGTTAGTTGAAATTTCATCACCACTAAGGAGATTGTTATAAGCCAAGTTAGTGGTGAGTGTTTAATGTTTAATTTAGAGAATATTAATTACAAGCTAAGTTTAATTTCTTGGTTGTGGGGTTTATAATTTATGATTATATATTGTGGAATGTGACAAAATTTATTTGCCACTTGATTAGTTGGTTGGCTTTCTAATATTGAGATTGGGTGCAATGGTCAATTAATTAATTCCCTGCATTTAGATTATATGGGATGAGAATGTAATATAATCTTGTGGGTACTTTACAAAATTGTTATGGTGTTTTTTTAAAGATAATTAAGAGTGAATATATATGTTACTAAATATAAGTATGGTACAATTTCTTTAATGTTAGAATTCTAGTTTTACTATGTAAAATGTTTGTATGTGTAAAATCCTATTTGTGTGTGACTTAATGATTAGTATCCCATGATTGTCAAATAATTGATTTTAGTACAAGATTAACAATATCAAATCATATCACTTAGAATACAATTTGGTGCAAATAAACCACTTATCAGTCAATTATTGACATATTTAACTAACTTTAATAATTAACTAACTTTAACTATTTGACTTGATTAAAAAGTTAAAACATGTCTGGTAAATAACTTTTTAAATTAAGGAATGTTTGTCAAATGGTTGATAAGTCATGTTTTGATTGATTTGATCAATTTTAACTGATTGAGATACCATTAGATTTTCAATAAGCATAAGAAAAAATCTAATAAGGGTCCGTTTGGAAACCCAGAAAATGACTTCTGGAAAATGTTTTTCGAATTTTCAGTGTTTGGATGCAACAGGAAAATCCAATCAACAGAAAATATTTTCCGTTGCCAGGGGAAAATGAAGCCATTTTGGCGAAAAATGACTTCTGCCAAAATTTGGAGGAAGTCATTTTCTGCCAAAATGTTTAAACATACAATTCTACTCATTTTTCTAGAAAATAAACTAAACATAGCAAATTTTTCAAAATGCAACCAAACACTGAAATGAAAATATTTTCTGAAAAATGACTCATTTTTCAAAAAAAAAAAAAAAAAAACATTTCCAGAAGTCATTTTCATACTTTCTAAACGTACCCTAAATTTTACTAATTCACTCAATAAATTTTCTCCTCAATCTCCCATCCAAGTCCCAACAACCAAACAATCCCCTAGTAGTACTATTTGCAAGTCCTCATCTTTCGTTTGTTTACTTCCATTTTGTGTGTGCATTTTTGGGTGTTGTTTGGTACATTTCCAGCTCTGAACACAAGATAACTTGAGAGAATGGCGAGAGAGGGGAATTGGGAAAAGGATCTTTTTTGTGACTGATGAAACCTTAACACCCAAACCTTTACATAGAAATATAGGCGTTTGATTGATTACGTTTTTGTTGATGCTATGCATTATTCCAAAGGGCTGAACCCCAACCCTAAGGGCCCCCTACACCCCGGCCCGACAGAGCATTTGTTGATGCTATATAGTCTAGTACTGTAGTTTGTCGTTTGTCTAGTTGTGCATGTGTGGCGTCAAGGTTACAGTGTATGTCAGCTTATTTTAATTTGTCATCTCCGGCATCCTCAGCTCCTAGGCTGTCCATCACCGCCACCGTCTCTTCCTTTGTCCACCGCCGCAATATTCCTCATCCCAACTCCAACTCCAATGGTCCCCACACCCCGGTCCGACAAAACAATCGTCTAACGCATGTGCATACAAGACATAATTCTCACATTGTCGCTGTCAAGTTTCGAATTTTAGTCTCTTCTCCCAAATACTGCTTACTAAACCAGTGAACTAAACATGTGAGGGCAGACAGCTACTATCAACTAATATACTCATAGATCCCATTTGATATGTCTAGTCCAATTAAAAAAGGTTGAGTGAGATTATTTTTGATTTATTTTTTTTTATAATATTAAGTTAAATATTACTCCGTACCATGGTTGAAAAAACGATAGGCGCTCATCGGGCGTTCGGGGGCGCCTTTTTATTTTTTAAAAATTTGTTTAAAATATTTTATTTGTTAAGAATTGTTAATTATAAATTATTTAATACTTAAATAGTTAATACTAACTTATTAAATATTAGCCTAAAAAGCATTAGAGTTTGAACAATTTAAGTTTATTTCACTCAAAACCATGTCATTTTGAGAGAAATAATCCATTTTAAAAAAAATGGAACAATAGCTAATCGACCGGTTAGTCGGTGCCTAAGAGGCCTAAGGGGTCAGCGCTTAGCTAGGCAGCCTTGGCCAACCGCTTAGACAACCAATTATGGTGATACGCTAGGCGGTTGGCCAGCGTCTAGCGCCTAGGCGTCGATTAATCGATGCCTATGCGATGATGATTATTATTATTATTATTATTATTATTATTATTATTATTATTATTATTATTATTATTATTAGTAGTAGTAGTAGTAGTAGTAGTAGTGGTGGTATGACAAGTAGATAAAAACAATGCATAGTAAAGATTAACATGAATATAATTATGAATAGCAATAAGAAAATAACAATTAATGACTAAATACCCTTATATTACAGAAACATAAAAAAAAAAAAAAAAAAAAAATATCACCCACATATTTTCAACTAACCACACAATAATAGCTAAGGAAAAATAAGAAGCTAGCATTATTTAACTACTTTTGGGGGGATTAGTTCAGTGAGCAACACTATAAATACCTTAACATTAAGATTTTACCTCAATCATCCAAAGGAAAAACAATAATACTAAAAAATCTACCCAACAAAGAGATAAATGGATACAATATTTTATTGTGCCTTCACATTTGTATTATTCTTGCTAGCAGATCTTGGAGAGAGTGCTGAGTTCAAAGTTACTGCAGAAGGCGATTCTGATATTAGTCCGGTAAATTTTATTATTTTCTTTGGAGAATTGTGTTAAAAACAGAAAATAGAAAAAGAAAGAACCACCCATGTTTCAAGGCTCATATCTCCTTTGTTTGGAATTTTAAGCAATTAAAATAAACACTTCCAGGTTCATATATATGATCATATTTGATTATGGAGAAATTTTTAATGGCGTAGGAATTGTTGAAAGCTTGGGATGAAGCATGTGCGGCTACGACTCCCAGCATCATTGTGATCCCAAAAGGCACTTTCCAAATGAAACAAGCTCTACTTAAGGGTCCATGCAAAGCCCCAATTGAGCTTAAAATCAAGGCTACTTTGAAGGCCCCTCCTAATCCAAATGATATGGAATGCAAAAAGGAATGGCTAACCATTAATTATGTAGATGATTTCACACTCTCTGGTGATGGTACTCTTGATGGCCAAGGAGATGTACAAATTTATGGCCAAAAAAAAGACACAGGTTTTAAAAGTGATAAGTTGCCTAATGTAAGTCCAAAATTTTTATTTTATATAAAACAATTAAGACAACAATTTCTTTTTACTGATAGATCTATTAAGTAATAATGTTTTTTTTTTTTTTCCAGAATTTGAGCCTCAATTTCTTAAAAAATTCGATCATCCGAGACATAACTTCTCTAAACAGTAAATTGTTCCACGTCAATGTTTTTGGTGGCAAGAACTTAACGTTTCAGAAAATCACTATTAAAGCGCCAGCGGATAGTCACAATACAGATGGAATTCATATTGCAAAAATATGTGATGTTACGATTAAAGATTCTGTTATAGGAACGGGAGACGATTGCATATCAATTGGTGATGGGTTAGAAAACCTGAACATCGATGGTGTGACATGTGGGCCAGGACACGGCATCAGTGTGGGAAGCCTTGGCAAGACCCCTGGTGAAGAGCCTGTGAAGGGTGTCACCGTAAAAGACTCCAAATTTATTGGTACAGATAACGGCCTCAGAATTAAAACATGGCCTAATTCTCATCCTGGAGTCGTAACCGATATACATTATCATAAAATAGAAATGGAAGACGTCAAAAATCCAATTGTGATTGATCAAGAATACTGCCCGAATAACCAATGCTCAAAAGAGGTATGTAACACATTTTTTTTTTATGACTTATCTTGATGATGGATGATTTTATTAAAACTTAGCTTGTTTTATTTTTATTTGTAGAAACCATCACTAGTAAAGATCAGCAATGTAAGTTATACGAACATAAAGGGTACTTCTGCAACCGAGGAAGCAGTGATCATTGCATGCAGTAGTGGGGTGCCATGTGAAGATGTTAAATTTGGTGATATTAATTTGACCTTCAAAGGAGGAGCTGCAAAAACTGTTTGTTCAAATGCGAAACCTAAGTTAACCGGAAAGCAGACCCCCCCAGTGACTTGCAAATGATGAGAGTTTTTGACCCTTTTTTTCTTTTTTCATGAAAATGTAATCATAGACGGTTGGATAGAAATAAACAAGTATGTGTAGCTTGTGGCATAGGCCATCCAATATGCTGCCCATGCTTGGTTTTGAGCTGGATATGATGTTGAAGTTTTTTTTTTAATTACTCGTAATATTTTTATGAAAAATACTTTCTATCCCTTGCAAATCAGCTGCAACCATATTATATTCCTATCATTAGATGTCAAAATTCTTAATTAATTCATTTTTTTTGTAACTTGAAAATAATAAACCTCACTACCCCAGTTCTCTTGCATACGAGAAAAGGTCAATACAGTAGAAATATGTAAATAAGATAATAACTAGAAATGAAAATAATATAGTTCACTTCAATTTTGATAGAATTTATTTGCCACTAAAAAATAGTTTTAGTTAAAAAAAAGAATTTTAACGTTGATGATTTTAACACTACTACAAATAACATTTTTAACGTTGATTTTTTGACTATACAATGTTGATTTTTTTTCAACATCGATTTTGTATGATATGTTTAATTATATTTTAAAAAAATAAACGACCTTTTTAATTTTTAAATTTACTATACGAGGTTGATTTTATCAAAAAACTACATTGTGTATAATTTTTAAAATTATTAAATTTATTTAATAATTTCTTATCAAAATCTATGCAATTTTACAATTCACATAAGTTTTTAAAATATGTGCAATTTTGTATTCATAATTTCACAATTGATCAAGCTAATAAATCTCTCAGTTATATTAATCAAACTAATAAATATCACAATTAATCAAGCTAATAAATTTTACAATTTGTTATAAATATTATACTTATTGTGGA